TCTGCGTGCATCTCCTGTTTTCTCATTCCACTACTCATGCATTCCCAACCATCGTACAGTTTTCACTATCCCATGAGAACCTAGTTCCTCCATATGCGATGTCCTCACTTTCTCACTTGTTCTAATCATCAACCTCTGGCATTTTTTTTTTTTTGGATGTGCTGTCGCTATGTTGCTGTTCCGAACCTCTTATGTTACTTAGAATGATTTTGCATTTACTTCGTGACGACGTGTAACAAAGACACTCTTTGTGATACAAAACCCTGGTGAAGCGATCTGTGCACATACCTTCACAAGTTGTAGTTTCTGAGGCTGTATCCCACACGTAACATATCCAAACATACTGACAGCAGTTTCAACAACAGGAGCAGCTAACACGCAGAGAGACTGTCAACTGATTCATCTTTCCCACTTATGCAATATTTTTTCACTAAGTGTCAACGATTAAGATCTGACTGTCTGACAATGAAACGTACTTAAAAATCCACTAAACACTGGAACATCGTACAATTTCTCGGCGTCAATTGTGTACGCTCCAAACTCGTCTTGTAATACTGACTGGAAACTCACACAAAGTACCCCAACTGTAGTCTAGTGGCCATTTAGTGGAGCCACGCCTCCTCCTCTCCTAACTGCTCGACAGCGCCCTTTGACATAGCTCGTTAGCTGTAACGATGCGTGATGAGCACCGAAGGACAGGATAGCTAAACTCTTTAATTCCACATAGCATGTCGAAATGCACAAAAGTGCAACTGGGCTAGTGTATTAGAATGGTTGTCACCCGTTTTGGGCACTGGATTAAGATCTTCCAACGTTATGCATTTCGGGTATCCTGAACAAGAAGCTTACGAAATCAGTCACAGAGCGCTTGAAAAAGTCTGCAAAAAATGCATTAAGAACGCAAAAGTTGGCAAGGAAATTAAGAAAACAAATATCCAATCATCCCAAATTTCCGGTATACGAACTCCACGGCACAGACTCTTGCTTGAGTTACTGATATGTGTTTATTCGGCTGATCTGTAAACTCGCCCTTTTACAGAACATGACTGTCCATCATACAAACAACATGATAAAAGTTTAATTTATTACAAAAGAATACTTTTTTTTTTCTAAATTATATCGGAAGACTCTTATATGCAGTACAAGCTTCAAATGCTGAATCACCAATTAGTCTATACAGGGTGTTTCACGACTTCAGGGCATAACTGCAGGAGGTAATTTCCTAGGTCTTTGTAATCAAAAAGTTCATATAAACATGTGTCCAATTTTGGACGGTTAAGGACTTATGACCGTTTTTTCATTCCCGTACACGCCCTCGTACGAACCGCGCCTGTCAGCTGGCAGGTCGCTATTTTTAGCCAGCTACAGACAGAGCGTTCTCGTTATCTCGACACTTGAGAGCTACCTAAGGCGTGGTGGGTTGGTATGTCCGGCGCGGTTCACAACCGAGCGGCAGCGTGTGTTGCGGCCGGCGGTGACATTTTCGAAAATCAGCTTTAAGCACCAATCAACTCAAATTAAAGGTAATTTCACGAAGTTAACTTTGCATTCATAGTTTAAATGTATCATGTATTATGCTGGTTTATTATCAGTAATCGTTACCTTCTATTCTGAGTTTAAAACGGTCATAAACTCCGTAACCGTCCAAAATCGGACACATGTTTATATGAACTTTTTTGATTACAAAGACCTAGGAAATCACCTCCTGCAGTTATGCCCTAAAGTCGTGAAACACCCTGTATTTCCATGCGAATTCATGATATTGTCAAGTGTTGGGTATGACACGCGACAAATATCTTCACGCCGTATTGAACGTAGCGAATTTATTCCACATTCGCTCTTACACTCACACAATTCACAATTACAATTACTGCCATCGGCAGTATCACAATTACATCCACTGCTCTCGGCGACTGCTAGACTTCTGCTGCACTCGGCGACTTCACGATCCACACTGTGTCACTCCTGATCACACACTGCTCAGCCGGCTTTTTATACAGTTCCCTGTTGCCTGTGTCAACAGCGGTATCCCCTGTTACGTCACAGTGGGGGAGGGGATGGAGTGTTGACTGGCCTGTTACCGTAGCAGCGACAGCACCCCGATGCTGTTATGTCACCGCTGGCGGGGGAGGGGGTGTCCTGCACAGCGCAAATACGTCACACTGCTCCCTCCTTAAGGGTTCGTCCCGAATAGCCTAACGGTGCATCCCCGTTCCTTTTTTTGAAGGCTGTTCTTGCAACGTCTTCTTTTTGTCCGGCTACTCATCTTGCAGTGACTATTCTCCGGCCGGTACATCCGCTCCCTTCTTAAGATTGTTCGTCCCGAACAATTCCATGGTCCCGCGTTCGTCGATCCCGTCGTTTCACATCCACTCATCACTTTCATTCATCGCACATTCATTCTCGCTGGGAGGCCGGTGTTTCTACATTACCGGTTCCTCCTCTGCTTCTTTTTCCGTTTTGGAGGGGGCCTAACCCTCCAGAAGGTACATTTTCTTATTTTTCGTAAGCCGTTGGAACCGACTACTTGTTTCGCGATCTTTCCTCTAAAATCACATTGACGGTCTTTTTGCTCGTTTCTCCACCTTCCAGGTGTGATCGCTGTTCTGATCCACACCCTTCGATGTAGTTCACGGTTTCCCTCTACTTTCTCACGTACATCGGCCGCTTGCCGCCTCGGTCCTTTGTTCCCCCTTTTCCTTCATGGTGCGTCCGTAATTTTTTCCTGAGCAGCCCTACTCTCTGGGTTGCTCGCTCAATCACGGCCACGGTGCAGTTTCTCCCAACGACGTTTTCCTCCTGCCGTGCCACTTTTGCAAGGTGGCTCGTCCCACTGCGGGCGACGGCCAGTCCTCTTCTTCGGCACCCATCCTGACACTGGGCCCGTTCTTTCATCTGGCGGCGACGCTCCGCGGCCAGTTGTCGGTCCCTATGTCGTTTCTTCTTGGTTCTCCGACCGGCGTCACTATGGCGTCTTCTATGGGTACCACTCGTTGTTCTGCCGCCTCAGGTTTCATGTCCACTGAGGTCGGCTCTTCTTCTTCTTCTTCTTCTTCTAGACATTCCTCCGTCTCTTGGCAGGCCATCGTCTCCATGTCTCTTTCTGATTTGGTTTCGGCAACCATGTCCTTGTGGCTGGTGCCCATATTTTCTCGCATGGTTCTCGTCCTTGCTTTGATCGCTCTTGTTTCTGCTCGGGTGGTTTCCGTCCTTGCTTGGATAGCTCTTCTTTCTGCGGCCATCTTTTCTTGCCAGGCTTTCGAGTAGGCGTCCATTTTTGCCAGGAAATCTTCTTAGTCTTTCTTCCTATCGGTCCTCAATTCATTCAGCAGGAATTCCATCATTTGCTGCATCTCCATTTTGTGGCAGTATAATACTCGATGCACTCGTAGATTCGATTATTCGTCGAGGCGTGTTCAAGTTCGTAAAGCACTTCTGACACCAAACTGTCACGTGTTGGGGTATGACACGCGACAAATAACTTCACACCGTATTGAATGTAGCCAATTTATTCCACATTCGCTCTTACACTCACACAATTCACAATTACAATTACTGCCATCGGGAGTATCACAATTACATCCACTGCTCTCGGCGACTTCACGATCCACACTGTGTCACTCCTGATCTCACACTCTCGTCACATACTGCTCAGCCGGCTTTTTATACCGTTTCCTGTTGCCTGTGTCAACAGCGGTATCTCCTGTTACGCCACAGTGGGTGGGGGGGGGGGCAGAATGTTGACTGACCTGTTACCGTAGCAGCGATAGCGCTCCGATGCTGTTACGTCACCGCTGGCGGGGGAGGGGGTGTCCTGCATAGCGCAAATACATCACAATATGTTTTGGCCATACGGGGAAAAAGTTGAAACCTTTACAATAGCTTTCAGTTATGTCTGTGATTCTAGGACACTAAACTTTCCTTCTGTTAACAGGTCATGGCTGTGTCCAGGAATAAAGGTGGCAATGGGGCTGACAATTCCAACAATTTACACCTCTTAGTTCTTGAATCTGGTGGGTAGAGATTTGTAGTTTCAGAAATGTTAACAATGTGCTAAAAACTCGAGAATGTTAAGATGGCAGGACAACAAATGTAGATAAAACAAGTGTAAACAGTGGAGTTGACAACTGAATAGAACTGCAAACCTAAAAGGCAAAGAATTAGAGGATAATCAAGGAGATCTTGGAAAGTAGATTTTTAGACAAGTACAAGCATAGAGATATCTGATCCATGAAGACAAGAAGAGTATTCATGATGAGGCTGAACCCTATCTACGAGAGAAAGTTGTTCTATACATACACATGTTCACAATGAGCAAAAACTAGCGGAAATTGAATAAGGAATGCTGTTCAATGGATAGAATGAGGGACCAGGTGGGCCAGACAAGTACTGATATAAATTACATGTACTGTAAATCCTTAGCAGCTGTTTTAACAAAATAAATCTTACACCACACTTCAAAGTTGCTAAGAATTTTACAGTTCTGCTAAATAAAAGACAAATCCACAACAAACCACTTCACCACCAACTATTTCCCTATTACCCACTACACTTTATCAGTCTCTTAACTCAATATCCTGCTTTCCTACAAAAGTTCGGCCAGAATAAAATTTTCTGAAAGCCACAGTTTGTGGAAGTTTTTCCAAAGAGGTTACCTCAAGAACTGCTAACCACTGTCCACACATCCTTATGTGATGCATATCTCTGCCTCCTTGTGTTGGCAGATTCATATGCTTTCCTGATTACTTTCTCAAAATAAGGCAGTGCCAGTAACATTTCATGTTCAGGGGTTGTATGGACAATGCCTGAGTGGAATGGTGAGCTTGAGAATGAAAGGTTGGGATGATAGGAGAAGAAGGGTAAAGGGATAAGTATTCTAAAGTTTTCCCAAGAAAATACACGCTGAATAAAATAGTTTAAATTCTTCTGGCATATCTGAACTTGCATGGCACACTAGCTGAGAAACTTGCAGCAAAAAGAGAAATTTCTCTCGGACTCACCATGTCTTTAGGAGGTGGTGAAGCCTCAAAGCAGTTGACCACAAAACTGCGTAGGTCCTGGAGGCTTCCCCAATGCTGTCCCCGGCTGGAGAGGCTCAGACTAGCTGCCAGTGGATCCTTTTCATCATTTGGTACTTCTGTCACCTTCAGGTCCTCCAAGCTGTGTGTCATCGGTCGCAATGGTGTGCCAAATACTTTGGGACTGAGCTTGCATGACAGAACAGCATCATGGGATTGTACACTGCCAATATTCATAGCACCCACTGACCGGGCACTTTTAACAATGAGAGGAAATCTTGGAAAGTTGTAATTTGCATCATTTACAGATTTTTCTTTGATGTTTGTATGAAAACACTGAGAAACTGTTTTGTTGGTCATGAAATTTTTGTACATATTATGCTTATACTGCAAATTCAGCTGGTCTTGGCTCTTATTGGTTCCACTACTCACACTCATGTCATCATTAGATCTAGTGGCCATGTTCTTACTCAGTGCTGTCTCTCCACAATAACTGGAAAAGTCGTAAACTGGCACATCCACTTGCTCTGAGTATATCTCAATGCAAGGATTTGATTTTTGTTCATGGTTCTCACCTTCACTGGAGCTACTACTGAGTGGAGATCTGCTATGGCTGCTCACAGCTAAGGTACCTGAGAGATTCATCACTGGATCAGGCATCACACGCACAGTCAATCTGTCATCAGGACGTTTCACTAATCTGCTATTAGCTGAACCTGTGAGACCATACATACAAGATTTTGGTTGGTTTACCCCACTAATGTTACCCTGCTGTACTTCACAGTTGCTGTTTACCATCTGTTGAATGTGCAACCTCTGGTTCTGAACATCTACAACAAGAATACGATCAGACTGGTTGCCACAGTCATCTCGAAAGCCAATACCTGAGTCACTATTACTGGATGCTGTTGTAGTTATACTGCTGGCATTACTAGGCTGTGGAGAGTTGGCAACTAATGGCTCTTCCACGTAAGGATTTCCTGCTGTCCCAGTCTCCTGACTACTACACAGAACTTTGATGGCAGATATAATAGGATCTGATGAGCTTGGGAACTCAGTACAAAACCCAGTTGCAGCATCTACAGTGCAATGAAGGCTGAAAGCATCTGCTTTTCCTGCATGCTCCCCATGAATTCCATGCAATCGCAATTCAATTGCAAACACGTGACAAGAACTTGAATGGACTAACTCCCTACCATCATTCTCATCTTCCACTGATCTAACTGCTGTGGTAATTATACCAAAGAACCGTCGTTCCTCATCTGAACTGGTCCCACAAAATGTCACTCGGTCACTGGGATATTCTGCTAGAGTCACTTTGTGACAGTTCGTCAATGTAAGGCTGTGTGTGTGTATACTCATCAGCACCAAAGTGTGTGCACGTTTCTCTGTGCGTAGACGTTTGATACAACTGCGAACTACTTGTAATCTAGAGCCTGGCTGTAACTTTTTAGGCATCTCAATTGTTCCTAGGTACCCAACTAGGGCCCTGAATTCCACCTTGTCCCTATCTTGTTCACAGGATTCCTCTGTCTGTGGATGTGGGTAAAAACGTGGACGTGGGAGTGGTAATGGAACTGGAGGTTCCCACTGCTGTGAGAGGGGAGGATCAGATTTTCCTGGGCTCTGCAACATAGCAGATGGCTCAACCTGCTGTTCATACATGGCTCCAGTTCGAAGATCCCTGACAATCTTTGCACCTCGGCTCTGCTGTGAACTAGCTGTTGTTCGTTGATTGTGGCCTCCATTTCGTGGCTTGTGCATATATTTGGGCTTAGGTCTGGCTGGGATGATGGCATCTTCATCTGAACTATCTGAATAGTAGTTTTCGGCTATTTGTAACTTAAGAATACCAGAAGAGCACCCAATTAAACGTACTACATCATCATGTGGTACTTTACTCACACTCTGCCCATTTACAGCTACCAAATAATCACCAGGTCGAAGACCTGCCTTCTCAGCTGGACTTCCAGCAACAATACAACTCAGTATACAAGGCTGCTGTCCGGATATTGTAAAGCCAAACCCATTTTTCCCTCGACTAACTTCAACAGTCCTTACTCCGTAATTCGGGCGTTTTTTTCGACGCCGGATTGGATGCATTATGGAGGCGTTTTCAACAACCGAAATCTTTATAATTCAGTCCAAGGTCACATTTTTTAGAGTCTATGGTTCGATATTATATACGTATGTCTCATTATATAATTGTTTCACTGTCTTAATAATACAGTTTACAAAACACTCCAACATTACTGATATTGTATAATATTTTAATTTTGCTTCCAAGATGGTTAGGTTGACCAGCTGCAGGAATGATGACCCCAGATAACGACAGAGTTCCACTTCCATCGTTACATTTGTCACTTGACTCATATGGCGAATTGCAGAAGCCGGAATAACTCTGAATTTTAATTTTAATTATTTCAATTATTTCTACCGAAAATGTCACAATACACTCCTGTCAACACAAGCACACCACCAGCAAATACCATTTTGAACTTCGGTTGCCTTAGGCGTTTGACAACAAAAGAACACGAACGCCACCTACCATGAAAAATGTTAAATGTTGAACTTTTATGCAGTCCCGTTGTGCTTGACGTGTAGAATTGATGGGGAATGCTAGGTACAGAGATAAGGTGTAACGTGTTCCGCGTGTAATCAATGATGTTTGTGTTGCGCAGAGAATAAGGGGCGGTATGTGCATGCTAAACACCTTAAGCTTTTGGCGAATGACTAAGAGCATAAATGCATCGCTTTTCGAAAAGAGTATACCTAACCATATGAAGAATTAGGTTGGAAACGAAGTTAATTCCTCATCTTTGAATGTTATTTTGTTAATTTGAAGCAAACATCCTTAACCACTTTTTTATTCTAGGCCCAAAATATTGAAGCCGAATTCTGTATTCCAGCATCCTGTTGCAATTGTTTAACTTAACGACCATGTATTTATCGTCCGTCAATATTGCAATACATATTTATTCACTGCGTAATTTTAATTTTAGTTTAACATTTTACACTTTGACACTACACCTGAAGATGGCCGTTTGGGGCCGAAACATGTAGTGTCAAAGTGTAAAATGTTAAACTAAAATTAAAATTAAGTAGTGAATAAACAAGTGTTGCAATATTGTCGGACGATAAATACATGGACGTTAAATTGAAACCGAACCTGCAATTCTTGGAAATCAGCGCCCAGGAAGAGCTTCAATATTGCTTTTATTTCGAAAAGATTGAAAATACTATATTTATAATTTTTTAAACATCTCTCGGTGTGTGAAGCAGACCACTCACCTCCAGCTAGTGCCGAGGTCAAGAAGATGTGGGTCTATATGTCCACTCCCCCATACGCATTCATGGCGTAGTGCTTAATTAGGTCAGCTCAGGGACAACTTTACACACATCTCTAAACTACAGCAACATTTTAAAGGAAATTCAACCCTCATACATTTTACATGCCATTATAACAAGTCAGGCAATTTGCTCTTAAAAACTAGTTTCAATCCCTCCTCCTTCAAACTTTAACTTTTATATATAGTGTACACTCAGCTTTTTTCAGAACTACAGCATTGACTGCATCCAATTATATAACCTGTGGTGAAGGCAGATATTATTTAAATCTGACATGTGGTAGGGCCCATCAGTTCTTTTTTCATTCACCCCAGTCTTCATTCAGTAAGGTTCTGACACCAACACAGCATACAGTCCAATGGGTACCACTGTGTAGGCATGAATAAATTACTTTTGTACAAAGTTATGTATGGGTCTTGCAGGTTTGCGACGTTTGTGACATCACATAATTTAGTAGGTAGGTACCGACGTTTTAAAGAAACCTGCTGCTTGTATCAGCAGGGTAGGCTTCTACCCTACCCATCAAATGTATCATTCAGATTTGTAGTATGTGATTTTAAAGTTAATGAACACTTTTCAAATGACAGGTAAATGTAGCAAATATAATGCAAACTAGTATTTTTTGTAATTCATATGATGATGACTGTCAGTATTTCGATCATATAGCGCCAAATGATAGATGATTTGTTAAAGATGAATTGGAAAAGATTAGTATTGAAACAGTCTTCCTTCCATTTGCAATAAAAGAACTGCTGACAGTCTATACTTCCCTGCTCACTAGATCTGTTATGTTTGAGTGGATATAAGCAAAGTAAGATTATGTAAAGTACTTGCTTTCAGGAGTGATGTGACTATCCTCATAAACAGGCATGCTGAACTTGGTTTAGATATAATTTATTCATTTTGTGCTTCCAGTTCAAGTTATCATTAATTTGTAGGTCAGGAACTTAAGTTGTTAGTAGATCATAAACTGTATTTATCTTCTTACATGTTTTGTTGATGTAAAACTATATATAATATGTGGAGCTTTGCAGTATTTTTTATTTTATATATCACTTCTACATCAAAATTACTGGAAGACCATGTTGTGATCCATAATGTGGACTAATGTACTCAGCTCACATATATTTTCTTCTACCCTGAAGATGGAGGCGATACGTTCCTCCGAAACGTCGGTTAACACCACATATACACGGTGCCAAATCCCAGAAGACTGCTTTCTTCATTTTTAGGCAACTTTCAATTACATAATTCAGTAAACAGACCCCCATTTATTTCTGACACTCTTGCATGTTATAAGTATGTTACGAAATCTAATGATCTTGTTGTGAATATCATTATTCCTGATTAATAAATGTTAATTTATGAGCCATTTTGGAGTGGCTACATTAGGCAAGTGTCAGTGAAATGTAATAATAGTCATGCTACGAAATTGGTTGCGCATTTTGGATTCGTGTTATTGTGGCACTCAGTTATATCTTCTGGGATATAATGCTCTGTAGTTTGTAGAAAGTCAACAGATGTTTTGGAGGAACCTATTACATCGTTTTCAGGGTAAAAAAAAAAGCCAAGCAAGAAAGCAGCATGAGAGCTTCCTTGACCCTGAAAATGTAGGTGATATATTCCTCCAAAATGTCAGTTAACTTTCAGCACTTTACGGGGCATATCCCTTCATTACCACTGCTGTAGGAACTTCAGCCCAATACATACCTATCCTAGTCATACTCATTCTAACTCTTATTTTCGATATATCTCTCGGTACTGTCCTGGTGAAACTTACTATACATGACCTTCGTATGTTCCATTTCATTTTCACCCACAATGTAAACTTCATGTGGGAACGCCACTGGAATATACCAGTACGCATTCCCTTTCTCGAAAAATCAAAAGGAGTAAGATTGTCTGTTTGACAAAATTCCTCATGTCTTGCCAGTAGACTAGTTTACTGTGCTTCACATTTAATCAGAGGGAACTAACATATAAATCCCAAAGTATAAAATTAATTTTTAAACGATATTAGTCATGTTTTAAATATTACAATAAATGTATTTATCTCCAGGTAACTGTATAACAAATTTGTATTTATATTAAAACTTCGGCCTGGAATGCAGAGATGAATACGAATTTTGCTGTTCGCTGTATAGAATACACGCCTAAGGGCTTGATGGTCTTTAACCTCATTCAACTTCCACGGTGAGTATATATCGATATACATGTGGTCGATGCGTCTGGCGGTACCCTCTGCTATGTGGTAACTGTGCTCATTCTATAGCTTGAAACAACAAAGAAATAAAGTCAGACATTTTCGTACTTGATCCAGATTTCTTTATAAACATTTGCCGCCATTTGAATATTGTTCGTCCGTTCATCGCTCATGAAATCAGTACGAAGAATACTAGTGAGTCATTTAATCGTTACATTCTACAATGTTCACAACATTATTAGTCATGGAACCCTTCTCCAACTCCCCATGATAGTTCTTATAAACAAGATAATGATATTGCCAAATGAAAATTCAGACACGAATAGAACATAAACAACAATTCTGAACATATAGATGAAAACTATTACCAATTTGAAAAACAAAAACCTCAGTTCTGAAAATGCTTGACTTATGAATACATAAACAGACGTGGATCTCAGTGTTATTGATTGGTAATATATATACATGTTTATTGTTCATTGATCTATGGCATAGCAATAGTATAATAAATCAACACACTGAAAAATTCTGAAACCATACTATTGCTGAGTAACGTAGTTCGTGGTTGGGGTAAGAATGAGTAAGAATGAGCGAGAATGTGTAACTGTATCAATCAAAAAATCCTCTTATTGAAACATATTGGCTAGGCCATTCTTTCAGTAGTAGTTGTGTGTCCTGCAGTGCCTAGTGGACGTGTACTGTAATTACTTTGGACAAATATGCCTAGGTATGATATAAGACTTAAGACATCAATAGTACTTTTTTTTTCCTTGACACTACAGCCCCAGTGGGCCTAGGCCTACCTCCGTGAACTCCGTTCACTTCGGTTTTTCTCGATCTCACACACACGGTAGGACTCCTTGGGCGAGTGATCAGCTCGTCGCAAGGCCTCTACCTGTAGACAAACACAGAAAAACGCACACAAACATCCATGCCTTGAGTGGGATTCGAACCCACGATCCCGGCTTCCGAGCGAGCGAAGACAATGCATGCCTTAGACCGCTCGGCTACCATGACAGCTATCAATAGTACTTACTGTGCTGAATTCTTTGACTGATTTAAAGAAGTGCCAACGGACGCATATGAGCGCCTGTCACATACCCCAACGTGAAGGAACCTGTATGTACGTTCGTAGCACGGAAAGGATTAAACTTAAAACTACGATTTTCTGGATTGCAATGCTAGGTAGTATGAAAGAAGTCCATTGTTAAGAGCAGTGCAACCGTCTTCATTTCTAATTCACAGATTACTTCTCATTATATACAACCGGATCTTTTAAGGTTCAACTAAACCATATCGATGAAAACTACTGAGACCAGAATAATCAACCATGACATTCAGATGGAACTGTATTAACTATTTAACAATCAAGTTCCTTCCGTCAAATGTGACACTTTTTTAAGTTTTCCACCTCGTCAGCACCTGCCTTACATGTTTCGGCTCACCACGGAGCCATCATCAGAGGCATTTATAGTAGAAAAAGAAATCACCAACACACAAAACTTCACTTTGTCCAAGATAGCNACATTCTGGGTAATTTTAACTATTTGTAATTATTTTAATTAACTGGAACGTGGCTATCTTGGACAAAGTGAAGTTTTGTGTGTTGGTGATTTCTTTTTCTACTATAAATGCCTCTGATGATGGCTCCGTGGTGAGCCGAAACATGTAAGGCAGGTGCTGACGAGGTGGAAAACTTAAAAAAGTGTCACATTTGACGGAAGGAACTTGATTGTTAATTGGTTAGTGTGACGGACCAGAATGAAAGACCTTAAAAAAAAAAATGTATTAACTATATTCGCAACACCACTAATTAACGTACTAGCCATGATCGAGCAGTAGGTTTAAAAGTCGTTGTACACGTTTACGCATAAGAGGAATGAGGCCATTTTACTACAAGTGCTCTGTGTTGTTTGAGAGACTCTCCAAAAGGAGAACTACCACACCTGAAATCATACAGACTGTTGGGAGGGGCACTTATTTATTTA